ACGGTTACCATGAAGTTGGGAATGTAAAGGGTTATGTTTTAGATACCAGGAAACTGCCCCAACATCTATAGTTCATTCCCTGGTGATTTTAGTTACTGAAAACAATTCATTTGGGGCATCACTCTGGGTTTAGTGAATGCCATGGCTTAATTTCTGAGAATAAACCAACAGCTTTCAAGTCACTATTTCTCAGCTGGTCTTTTTCATCTTTATTATTCATACCTCAATTCCCTGGCAGAGAATATTCTCCTAATAAGTCTTGGGATTTCACTTGGGTGAAAAATCCAGTTTCTCTGCTTTAAAAGGAAACATGTTATAGCTGTTTTGGATAAACAACAAACTCTTCAAACCTGCAGAGAGGCCCACGTGCTGACCTGTTATAGCTTGCATTATAAGAACTCACTGTGGCCCAGATTTGGCCACATCGGAATAACTGTTAGCTTTCCAGACAGAAATAACACCCGAAGTGTCCCTTTGAGTTTCCTGACATTTTAAGAAAGGGCAAAAATCTGGTCTGTTTCTTCCCGAAAGGAGTCACTAGGCTGACTTTTTCCAGAATCTCTGTACCAAAGACCAGTTTTTACCCCCATAATCTACAGCTAGGCACTCACTAGCCCAAAGTCTGGGCAAACCCCCAGACCTCTCTCTAGATTGAGGGGACGATGACATCTGTTTGGGAAGGTTGCTGTAAGCAATCGCTTTAACACCTGAAAAGCTCAGCACAGTCCCAGGCAGATTCTGGGTAGAAGGTGGCAGGTTTTTAAGGAGGGACTTGACACCTAGGAAGGCAACTAACAAGGCCGGGTCACAGCAGGCTCGTGGCCGGAAGGATATCCACAGCCAGGCCCTTCAGCTTCTCTGCTCTGGGTTTCTGTACTAGTCAGTGCTGCACGTGCCTGATCCTCTGCTCCTATGTACCAGCTTGCAGCTCATCCACCACTTTGGGGGAAGGCAGGCAAACCCAAGGGCACTATGGGAAGGCTCTGCTACACCCCAGTGGTGCTCGCACCAAGCCATCCACAGGCCGTGGCTGCCGGAGGCTGTGCTGAGTGGACAGAGAGAAGGCCCTGGGGGTGGGGCAGGGCCGTGAACGTGGATTTCCCCAGATGCTTTCCCACCCCGACGAGGGCAGCACTTACAGTCAATGCCAGCATGACCTCTCTGTAGTTCCGGTTCCCGTTGAGCCGCTTCTTCAGGGCTCGAATGGCATCCTTTGGCCTAGAGAAAAGGACATGTTAAAATCCTTGCATGTTCCACTCGGGGCCGCTACCCTACAGAGTCACTCCTGTTTGTGTGAACCACTATATATACAAGGTTGTCTGTTACACACAAAGTATTAGGTGGCATGTTTATACACATAAAAGATCAGAAACAGAGGAAATCTTCATCATTGTGAAACAGGTTAACTTAAAAAAAATTTTTTTTAAGTTTTATTTATTCTTTCAGTAATCTCTACACCCAACGTGGGGCTCGAACTCACGACCCCGAGATCTAGAGTCCCATAGCTCTTCTGACTGAGCCAGCCAGGCACCCTGAAACAGGTTAATTTAAATCATGTTTATCCCACTATATAGCTGCGGGAAAAAATAAAGACACTCCTTATGCACCAATATGGAGCCAACTCAAAGAAATGTGAATAGAGTTGTGTGCAGAGCAGTGTATAAGCGCCTCTTTGGCTTATAAAAGGACAACATACATACACACATACATAGTACACAAGCCAGCAGAGGGAAGAGAATCTCTGGAAGGAGCCCCAAGAAGCTGGTAACTCTGGCTGCCCTTTAGGAGGAGAACTGGGTGGCAGACAGGACGGAGCGAGAGGTTTTTCACTGGGCTTTTTTGCAGTCCTTTTGCATTTTGCATCACATGCAAATATTCTTTATTCGGAACAATAACTAACCCACTGGTGTGGGGGTACACCGAAGGGACAACAGACAGAGACACAAAAGAAAGAATGGCCAGCTCCTGGTTGAGGCTTGGATGTTCAGCTCCTGCTTAGTGGGGAGTCTGCTTCTCCCTCTGCCTCTCTCCCTGCTCATGCTCTCTCTCTCAAATAAATAAAGTCAAAAGAAAGAGAGAGAGAGAGAGAAAGAAAGAGAAAAAGAGAAAGAGAAAGAGAAAAAGAAAGAAAGAAAGAACGAACGAAAGAAAGAAAGAAAGAAGAAAGAAAAGAAAGAAAGAAAGAAAGAAAGAAAAAGAAAACTGAAGTGTCCTCAAAATCCAAAGAATTATGTGTTTTTAGGTTTCCCAGAGGCATGATCATAAGCTGATTGTTTGGAACCTGGAACACGTTCTTCCTTAAATCACAGTTAGAGCTGGGAGTGAGGGTCCCCAGCCAGCCCTCTAGAAGCAGCTAGAAGGTGCAGCCCTTGGGTCTAACAAGTTATTTCGTTTACTCTAAGCCAGGATCCAACAAAGCTGCGGGACTCACGGCTACCTCTAGCATGAAGCTGGCCCCCAGACGCCCCATCACCTGCACTCCTGAGAGTCCCCAGTCCGCCTGCAGATTAGCCTTTTGCTATCACAAGTGGGCTCGAGCCTTCCCCTGATCAACGTGTCAGAATATCTGGGTCTTTCGAAAGGTGAAGGTTTGTAAGTCAGGGACCTCCTATTCCTACAGCTCTGAAATATTTATGATCTCTTTACCAAAGGAAAAAGCCCTTTCAAATATGTGTGAGGCAGCTGGGGGAAGGGACGGTAGAAGGTCTGCTAATCAGCCCTATGTAGTCAGAAATACACAGGAGCCAGCCAAGGCTTCTAGAAGAGATTTGAAAACGCCCTGAGTCACCTATTTCCCATTCCCAACTTGAAACGTGGCTGCCTGCAGGAATTCTTGGCTCCTGAGCCCAAAGGCTGATGGGATGAGCCTCTCTGGGGAATGGGTCCCTGCCAAGTGTGTTTGCAGCATGGCTGCAGTTTCCAAACAGGGATGCTGATTTCTGCAAATACGACAAGCTCCTGGCTTTGAGGACTGTTTGTGGACTTGAGCTGGTGAAGGTCAGTGGCTGCTGGCCAGGAGCGTGGATTGATTTCCTCTCTCTCCAAGGCTCTGCCAAGCCACGGTCAGCCCTGACCCACGGCTGCCATCCTCCTCAAGCCAGCTTCATCCCTCTCCTCTTGAACTTGCATGGAGCAGAAAAATGAGAACAGCCTCCAAGGGCCACGATCACTTAGAGCTCACAGAGCAGAGCGCACACAGAGTTCTCCCAGTGTGGGGGTGATGGTGGTAGTGGAAAAATCAGAGAGTCAGCAGGCTCCTGGGTTAGAGTTAAAATGGAAATTCATCGGTGGCGGGAAGTACTGCCTCAGAGTGACTGGGTGAGCACAAAAGCAAGTATTTATCTCTCTCCCCGGGGGAGAAGCTTCAGAACTGGAGGATCAAAGTCATGTCAGAGGAATTGCAAAGTTTCAAGCAGCCGCTGCAGATTAGACAGCAAGGAGCTGGAATCAGGGAAAAAGGAGAGAAGAAAGAGTCAAGAGCCAAGATGGAACAGGGGAGAGGAGCAGGAGGGGAGCCCCCCGCCACCACCGAGAGACGCCCCGCCGCCCTGGCAGCTTGCAGCAGGAAGGTCAGCACCCAGGGCCTCAGGATCTGGCCTCTGGGCCATCTTCGGCCTCCCCAAGGTCTCCTCCACCCCAGGCTCATAAGAACCCTTCTTTCTAGTCACACTTGAACTCATCTTGTCCTCTGGCTCCAGAAATGCTGCTCTGGAGCCGCTTTCTCCCTATTCCCTCCCAGGAGGACACGGCTTCCTCAACACGGGCTGCCCCTGCCTTCTAGGGTTGTCTTGGGGCGCCGCATAAGCTGGTGCAATCCAGGGCTCGCATGGTGGCCTGGCACACAGATGGCAAGCGCTCAGAGCACGGCAGACAGGGGCAGGGCAGTCAACCCACAGGGATCACGACCCAGGACTGGCCAGATGATACTGCAGATGAAAGTGGTGGAGGACGTCCCGTGCCGTGTTAAGTCTTTAACGTGCAGGTTGTTAATGGAGAAAGAGCACACCCCTATGCAGAGCACGGACGTGGATCCATACACAGGCAGACACTTCATAATATTTACTCCTTTGGTCCTTCTAACAAGCCTATGTGACAGGCACTACTGGTACCCACACTTTGTAAATGAGGACACCGAGACATAGGGACACACGGCAAGGGAGTGGAGGGCCTGGAATTCCAGCCCAGGCAGGTGGCTCCAGGCTCCACACCCCTAATCCCAAGACACCCCCCTTCCCACTGCTGCCCACCAGCCCGGGTGTCCGACTTCCTGCCTGCCATCCACCCACCTCACCAGGCGGATGCCCTCCTATGCTGCAAGACTCCACTTGGGTGTCACGTCCTCCAAGCAGCCTTTGCTCTGGTCTCGCTCAGTTAAGAGGCAGCACCTCCTGGCACGCTGTGTTACGGTTATGTTCTGCATTCCCCATCAGACGGAGTCCGTTAGGGACTCCATCCATTTATTCTTATTTACGAAATGCTTGTCAAGAGTCAATTACACATATGCTGTGCTAGGTGTTGGCACAAAATGGCACGTGAAACAGAATTCTGCCCTCATGGAGCGCACGGTCAAGGGGGGCCTGCAGGGGAGACAGCCATTCTAACGAACATCACGCAGACATGTACATTTACACTGTGATGGGCCTGGTATCATACAGGGTACTGTGAAATCACACACGGGGGGATTCATCCAGATCAGGCAGAGAGGGGTGTCAGGGAAACGGACTTCAAACTGAGCTCCAGTGAAAGACAGAACTGATCGGTGAAAGGGAGAGGTGAGAGGGAAACAGAAGGAACACGGGGACCGAAACCCTGAAGCAGGAAGGAGCTGAACGGGCGCCCAACCGTTAGCTGAACCTCAGAGCTTTGCTCCCGCGTAGGAAGAGATTTGACAGACCACCTCACTGTGGAGGCTAAGACAGAAAATCACCGCACATCCCTGAGGTGCTCTCGCTCAGAACTGCAGGACTGAGTGTGGGCCCCTTTAGGAGGAAGGCAAACTGAGTGTTGGGAAAGGAAGGTGACCCACCTCCTAGACCCTGGAAGGAGGAAGCCCGGCTCTCACACCTCCCCACTCTCCCTGCTTGCCCAGACCGTTTGTGGCCCCAAACAGACTGCCCTTTCATGCTCTTATCTATATTCCGCCTTCTCTTCCTGCCCCACTGAGGCCCAGCCCAAAGCCTGCACCCTGTGTCTGCTGCAATGTGCACATGCCTCGGCCACAGCCCACCAGGGCCCACCAGGTGAGCCCCTCAAGATATCTGGGGAGCACTAGCCTTGGCATCCTGGAACCAGCTGCACCTCCATCTGTGGGATCCAATGTGGCTGGACAACCAGAGAAAGGAGGGCATGAGAGGGGGACATGAGAAAGAAGGGAGCCCGTGACTCTGGCGTCAGAAATGCACAGCCCCCAACCACTCTGTGACCCGGATGTGTGCTGGGCACCAAGCTGACCACCTATATTTAGAGGCAGCAATATGCCATCTTTGACCCAAGATGCCCAAACTTACGCCTCCAGCACAGGCCCCTGCCCGCAGCTCCATAGCCAAGCCCACCAGGACGGGGAGCACTGCACCTGGGGCCTAGCGGGCAGCTCAGAGCAGAAGGATTTTAGCTGACCTTCTGATCTCTGCTCCTCAGCCTGCTCCCTCCCTGTGGTGGCTCAGCCCTGAACACTGGCGTCTTCCTGACTCTTCTCTCATGCCCACATCCACCTCTGCACACCCCACTGGCTCCACCTTTTTTTTTTTTAAAAGATTTTATTTATTTAATTGACAGAGAGAGAGAGACAGAGAGAGAGAGAACACAAGCAGGGGGAGTGGGAGAGGGAGAAGCAGGCTTCCCGCCGAGCAGGGAGCCCGATGCAGGGCTCGATCCCAGGACCCCGGGATCATGACCTGAGCCGAAGGCAGTCACTTAACCAACTGAGCCACCCAGGCGCCCCACTGGCTCCACCTTCTAAATATATTCTGAAGCTGAGTGTTTCTCCCTCCTCCCCACTTTCGTCCATGTCAAAACAGCCATCATCCCACACCTCCTAACTCGCTTCCCTCTTTCTGCCCTCTGCCCTTCCCACCCCCAGCCAGGCCATTCTGATCACGGTAGCCAGAGCAATCTCTTTTAAATGAGCGTTAGATGGGGCACCTGGGTGGCTTAGTCGCTGAGCGTCTGCCTTTGGCTCGGGTCATGATCCCAGGGTCCTGGGATCGAGCCCCGCATCAGGCTCCCTGCTCGGCAGGGAGTCTGCTTCTCCCTCTCCCACCCCCCTGCTTGTGTTCCTGCTCTCCCTCCCTGTCAAATAAATAAATAAAATCTTAAGAAAAAATAAATAAAATGAGCGTTAGACTTGGGGCACCTGGGTGGCTCAGTCGGTTGGGTGTCTGCCTTTGGCTCGGGTCGTGATTCCAGAGTCCTGGGATCCAGCCCTGCATCAGGCTCCCCACTCAGCGGGGAGTCTGCTTCTCCCTCTCCCTTTGCTGCCCCCCAGCCCCGCTCGTGCTCTCGCGCTCTCTCTCTCTCTCTCAAATAAATAAATGGGGCGCCTGGGTGGCTCAGTCATTAAGCATCTGCCTTCGGCTCAGGTCATGATCTCAGGGTCCTGGATTCGAGCCCCACATCGGGCTCCCTGGTCAGTGGGGAGTCTGCTGCTCCCTCTCCCACTCCCCCTGCTTGTGTTCCCTCTCTCACTGTGTCTCTCTCCGTCAAATAAAGAAATAAAATCTTTAAATAAATAAATAAATAAAAATGAGCATTAGACCATGTCCCTCTCTGGTCAAATCCCTGCACTGTTTGGATGGGCACATGTCTGACCCCTCCTTGCTCTCTCCACGCTAGCCCCACGAGCCTCTTGCTATTCCTCAAACATACTATCGGCCCTCTGTCCCAGGACTGCTGTGCTTGCTGCTCCCTCTGCTTGGAAGGTTCTTCTCTGCTGTCATCCTCACACATCACCCCCTCATCTCCTTCAAGTCGCTCTTCAATGTCACCTTCTCAAGTGAGGCTTTCCTTGATTCCTCCACTTAAAATTGCTGACTCCCAGGGGCGCCTGGGTGACTCAGTCGGTTAAGCAGCTGACTCTTGATTTCGGCTCAGGTCATGATCTCAGGATGTGAGACGGAGTCCCGAGTCAGCCTCCGTGCTCAGCGCAAGTTCTGCTTGGGATTCTCTCTCCCTCTCCTCAGCGCAAGTTCTGCTTGGGATTCTCTCTCCCTCTCCTCAGCGCAAGTTCTGCTT